TTCCTGTAAACATTTTTAGGCGTTGTTTAAGTGAGGGTGAAAAGTTTCCAGTTGAGGCAAGCAATTATGTCTTCAGGACCTTGTACAAGTTTAAATTAGGTCACAGGCTAGTATCTGTTAAGAAGCCGCTATGTTAGTCATGTATAAGGAACTACTTCAAATCTAGCTTTAAGGATATTGTCCCAGATATTTCTCTATTTAGCACACATTCCTTAAGAGCTGGTGGTGCTTCAGCTTGCAGCTAATGCTGGTGTTCCAGACAGACCCTTTCGGAGGCACAGGTGTTGGAAAGCTGTTTCTGCCAAAAGTGACTATGTTGACGACAGTTTGCGTTAACGATTGTCAGTGTCAAAAAGTGAAGTATTTAATTCTGTATCGCTTACTTTTAACTTCACATTTCCCTTTCTTTGGTTCTATTAGGATGCGGTTACTACAAGACTGGCTGACTCATCCTAAGTAAACTTTTCACGTTGAATATCTCGTCTGAGTGTAGTCAGAATATGTAAATTCTGACGTTGAGTTACATGGGAACAAATTAGTCAGAAATTAATATTCTAATGGCATGTACAAGAGGTTCGCGTGGCATCATTGTAGAGAGAAACAATTTTAGCTTTGATGAAAAGCAAGTTTCAGATGAATTTCTTTGGCCGACCTACTCGAGAGCTTCAGGTAGTACGCACGAATGTTCCGAACTCCGTAACTCGGTTAAGGTGGTTCGTACCAGTTTCCTCGCGCGGGGAACAGGTCACTCTTGCGTGACGCGCGCGAGAGAAACGTGCGAAAGAAGCGCGAGATCAAAAAGATGAAAATTCAAAACAAAGATGGCGGCGCGTGGAATTTTTTCTACTTTTGTGAAAAGTTTACCTAAGAGCTTGTATTTGATGTGTTGAGCGGCCACTGTGAATGCAGGAGATAGAAACTAAGATAACGAAGACGATTTTCGGAGAAGTAAAGGTTGCTTCACTTCATATTTAAAAGAAGTATTCAACCGATATGAAATCTTGCGACGGCGAAAAAAGAA